TGTTCTATTCGGGGGTTCGTTGTAATTGAAAATGCTACAGACAAAAGTGTAGCAAAACCAAAGACAACAAGCCAGGGAGGGGGGGGGGGGTCATCTCTGTTGACAGTGAAGATGGGTGGGGGCCAAAGGATGTCAGCACCCCTGCCACTCAGATACTTGATTGACGACTTCTAAAAACAGCATGGGCAGGCACACACATTGCTAGAGCTTCCTAGGAAAAATATTAGCAAAGCCTCAATCAACCTATTCATTTCTCTCTCTTTGCCCTTCACATGCAATAGATACAAGTTCCCTTAACACGTACAGCACAGCACCCTTAATTAAGGACGAAGGGAACAAACAAGAGAGTCACAGCAAACATTTGAACGCTCCCTCTTTGGGACCTTTCCTGACTGACCAGCAATTTCCTTGGATTGCATTTCAGCAGAAATGCTGCTGGAAACCTTCTACTTTGATCAGTCCAAGGGGAGAGGTTTGTTTGTTGGGATGGGCAACCATGAACTGCCCTCTGGTTGAAAAAGGTGTTGGCAACATGACCCCTTTTTCCAGATCTCTGGTTCTAAAAAAAGATACACACTGTCCTTCACAGTACAGGTCAAGATTATTCTACTCACCTATACTGATGAATGTCTTCAAAGGATTTGGTGTTGTTAATAGCGAAGACACATAGGAAGCCTTCTCCTGTCCGCATGTACTGGTCTCGCATGGCGCTGTATTCCTCTTGGCCAGCTGTGTCCAAAATGTCCAATAAGCAGGTCTCCCCATCAATGACTACTTGCTTTCTGTAGGAATCCTGCAGAGCCAAGAGATAAGAAAGAATCTTTAGGAGCAGTGTAAACCATCTTTGCTTGTGGCCGTTACTGTAATATCCCTTGCTGTTTTTGCTTCCCACAAACTTAGCTATTCACCACTCATTTCCTTTCGCAAGCTCTCATTGCCATCTTCATGGCTCGGACGTTGCTGCTCCCCACTCCTGCAAGTCTTTCTTTTCTTCTACATGCTCTCTTTCTTGACCAAGTCTGAACCACCTCCTCCCCAGTCGTCTCTCCCTTTCATTTGCATCCCACATGCCTTTCTATGTCTCCCAATATGCACCTGCCTTGTATAGGCATCTATCTGCCTATAGATGTTCCTCTGGAGAATTCCTCACTTGGCACAGGCCCTTTGGGAGGACTGCATCAATACAAACTAGATGCTTAGAATCCAAGGTTCATATCCTGGAACGCATTACTCTGGGTTTGCCAGAGTCAGCAATTTGAACCATACAGAGAACCATATTGTAAGGCAAGAGTACACAATTTTTTGATGGCCAAGGGAACCACTTTTATCCCCTCCCCCTGGTGGTATCACCAGAAAGTAGCAAAAGTTTCAGACCTTTTCTTTCCTGTTTTGAGGAAAATGAGGGGAATGCACCATCCATGTACATTTTTCAAGATGCCCTGCAGAGGAAGGAGTATTCATACCTCTAGTGTCAGAGCAGCAGCTCATTTTGGGAACTGCCAGTGTTCTCCCCTGACAGACAAGGTGTCTTTGACATCAAGCGGTTCAGACTTTGCAAACTTATTTTCTTTACTTTATTTAGCATGGACTTATCCCTTTAAAAGTAGCTGTGCCAAAGGAGGATCACAATCATCTCCTTTGACTGGCACACATACAAGCCAGAGAGTAAATATAAACGTGGGCAAGCACTGGGTGGAGTTCATGAGCAGTATAACTATGTCTTCCCGCCTACCCATAATATTGTCCATCAAGATAAAATTATAACTATGAAAACAATCAGCATAGACCTCATATTCAGTTCTTCTTGGCTCTAAGTGTTCTAATTCAAAAGGCTTTTTTCCATTTCTAAATAAAACATATATCCACGTCACTTGCTTTACGTCCCATTTTAAGAGTATCTTTAATATTTAATAATGTTAGCCTTTTTCTTTTCTAACATTTTTTTTTAAAATTAAAGTACAGATTTTTTCAGATGTTCTTAGAAAATAAAGCTTTCAAATACTATGACATCTCACTTTTTGAAAAATAAGTCTTAAATAAAAGGTTAAATACTGGAGGTCCAGAATTATGAGACAGAAAAATGTAACCTGCTACTCTAAAATGTTAAAAATGTCAACTACACACACATCTCACTTGGCTTTTTTTTTTCTAAATTAAAAATATCTAATTATTACAACATTTCTTTGTAGAGGAATTTCCCCAATCTCTTATTTTATCTTTTTCTACATCTTTTCTAGCAACCATGTAAAACACATAATCACAGTGTTCCTCTCTCCGGCATATGCTTTTTCTTCTGGGCCTTTTCTCTCTATTGAGTTATTTTGCTCTCCACCCAGCTCTGTATCAACAGAAAACTACCAACATAAAGCTTCCCCACTGCTGATCCTTTCTGCCTTTGCACTCAGTTACCCAACTTCCCTCCAGCGTAATGGGTGACAGATTTTACCCACCTTGAGGATTCCCTTAGATTGGGCTGGAATAAAGGGAAAAATACCCTTCAAGTCTGGCACAATTAAGGACAGCTTAAACCTATCTCATTTATGAGCTGGGAACGAGATGAAGACAATGTCATAAGGACACACTCTTTGACTGCCAGCAAGTCCTATTCCACGTGCGTCGCCTATTTCTAGCTCAGCCTTCCCTAACCTTGAATCCCTCGGGAACGAAGGAAAGCGTAATCCAACCTTCTATTTTGAGGATTTTTCTTTGGGCTTCACCTGCACTAATGCTGTCTTGTGGGATTTGCTATGTATTTATTTGTTTGGAAAACGGATCTTAAGCATCTTAATTGTTTACTGTATCTTAAACAAGTAACGTTGGCCAGCCAGCAAAGAATACGTCCCTGGTCTGCTTTAGAAAGGCAGTGAAAACCTGTTTTTCCAATGAGCCCTGGGTTGAGGTGTTTTGTGAACTGGGGTGATGACTGATGAGGGATGGTTGAAACTGTGTTTTATATGCTTTCCCGCTGCATGATTTCATTGGTCTTTCATTGGTCTTTGTATCTTGATTGTTTTCACTGAGTTTTTAATGTAAGTTACCTTAGTCTTTCTGAATCAGCAGCCATATAGGACACGCACACAACCAAATAATGGGCCATCCTCATTGAACAGGTAACATTTCAAAGAAAGCTACCTTGCTGGTCCTGGGTGTTAATTTATTACTAGAAACCTAGACATTTTAATTTAGTGACAATTAATGGGGGAAGGCAGCAACAGGATAGCAATCAGGAAAATAAGAGTCCCCTATCTACAACATCCAGTGTAATCTAGTTTTTAAGAGGTTCAAATGGAATTGGGAAGTCCAGATTCAATCCATTCAGCATGGAGGTCACCAGAGAACTTTGGGTCAGTTACTCTCTCTCAGCCCAATCTACCACACTGCAGCTGCGGCAGGGATAAAATTGAGGGGAGACCCCCACTAGGCCACCTTGAGCTCCCAGAAAAAAGGCAAGTAAATACTATCTTCTGTTGACCTAGAGCCATCTGAATAAAGACACTGATAGTGTCCAGACATTATCCTAACTATTGTTTAAAAGAATAAAAATAAGCACTAGTGAGATCTGGCCTTGCATGCTCCTCCTCAACACCATCCCAAGGGGGAGAATAAGAGGTTCCATACTCTTTGTAGCGTAACCACAACTTAGTATTATTTATGAACAGTGATTAATCTTAATTCAGATGACATGTCAAATGAAGGTTAATATAAAACAGAAGCAAAAATTTCAATCTTTATAGTTGTGTTCGAGACGAGGAACACAAGGCACACAAACTCAAGAATCACTGCGGTTTGATCTTGTCAGGCTAAGTTATAGTATACCGTTATGTAAAAAGTTGCCACTGTTCTTATGTAATGCTACATATGTAAAAAAACAGGCCAGGGACAGGGACAATAAACTAACTTCTAAGAAGACATTAACATTAAGAACTGACCTCCAGGTTCCTTTCAGAAACAGAAAGCAGGAAACTTTTGTAACCCATATGGCTTAAATCCAAGGGCTAAAAATACTTTGGACTCCAGATATACTTTTCTGTAGCCTACTCTAAACTGGGATCTTCTAGGCACACTGTGACAACAATAGCCAGAGTACTACATGGAGTACTGGGATTTGTAGTACCAGTATATCTGGAGGACACCAGTTTGGATTTGGCTTCAGTGATCTTCTTGGTAAATGAATTCCAAAGGAGAATCTGGGAGACTGATTGGCTGGATGCTAATTGCTTTCAAGATGACTAGTATCTGACTCTTTCATGGGAAAAAGGCATTTTTATGTCACCATCAATAATGTATTAGCAACCTCTCTCTATGGCTTTTCAGAGGAATGATAAAAATGGTTTCTCTGGTTATTCAACTCTTGTATCCCATCTTCATTTACAGTGCCGCCTGCTTCTCTGTGGTTTGCTGGAGCAGGAATATGAAATGGCCAAACAAATTTGGTTCCATTTTCCTTAAAACACAAATAGCAAATTCTCAGTAGCATGCACTTCCATCACAAGTCAAAAGCTTAGATGTGATACTTAAAAACATCAAAAAGTAGTTTGGCAAGAGTAGATCCAAAAAAGAGATCTAATTTGTGTAAGTACATCAAAGAAGTTTATTAGGTAAGCATGATGAACAATGACACAAGAAGGCATGGGTCCAGAATTTTGTTTAGGATGAATCTAGACAGAGGAAACATTGAGTATTTTAAAAACGAATTGTATCCAAAGGGAACTCTTTCTGAAGCAGTCTGGTGGAGGCAACAGTTGCCCTGGGACTGGTATTTATTTATTTATGAGATTCAGAGGCTCCAAAATGACTCTGAGTGGCTTACATCAAAATAAGAACTACTAAAGGAAAACAATTTGAAAAAAGGGAAGTTGGAATTTGGTATTTGGAAACATCAACCTCCATCCTGGCAAACGGAGAGTATGCACATATCCTGTAGGAATGGAGAGAGGATGAGTGCCCCACATTTTGCAATCAAAATATATTAAGTCAAGGTAGGAACTTCCATTAACAGCAGACTCTATCACAGATCCTTCCCAACTTCTACAGATATACTCACATTTGGTTCATTGTCAGTTACATGACTAGTATGTGAAAGTTTTAACAATAGATCAAATGCAGATCTCACACAGGATTCTTCAATTAAAGCAGCGTACACATGTAGCTTCCAATCATTTAGCAACAAAAACTGCAGGGGCAGCTATTAGCCTTTAAAAGGCCCAAATGAATATATTTTCAAAGTTTTCATCACGTACAAAAGAGTTAGAAAATAGATCACTGGAAAACAGACCACTTTTTTTCTTTTATTATTAAATAAATAGATTCTTGGGTCTCTGCCCATGCATCTGAAACAATGACTTATCCAATGCAAGATATAACAATTTCCAGATATGCCTCATTAGCAGATCGTTCAATTTACAGGAGACAGCCTCATTTGTAAGTTATATAATACACTCTCACTTATATCAGCTTGTCAAGTTGAGGAAAAGAAAACTTGAACACTCATTACTAAATTCTCATGCCTGAACAAAAAACATTTTTCTACAAAACTGTCCAAAGCCTTTTTTTACCTCCTGTGTTCAAAACAGAGTTTGTAATCATTAAACCATTTCCATTTCAACTATTCATATAATAGTGGCACAGCTCTACTTTCAGCTTCTAGTCGTAAACTGCGGTTGCACTTTTTAGATCAGAAAACATTTGTTGCTTTAAAACAAAAACAAAAAAAAATGTGATTCCAGATGAAAGCAAGGTAATTACTCCCGTCCAGTATGAGGAAGAGCAATTTTACAGGGGAGGGAAATGTTG